AGTCATTTTATAGGATGAAAATCAGCCATTTCTCAAAGCCCTCTGTGTTATTTTTCTAACTGTAACCTATAATTTACCTAAACTTTCCACATTTAAATTTCAGGGGTCGTAGAGGATGCGCAAGAGCTGTTCATTGTGCAAAACAAACAATGAACTTCAAGCAGAGGCAAAGAGGTAAAACATGTCCAACAAATGCTCACTACCACTCATTTTAACTAGTTCAATTCCATGTGAACTCATCTGCTAGCAGCTTTTCAACCATTATTACTCCTTTTTCAAGAAAATCAAACTGTTACCACACTGCTTAAGCTCCGAATCTGGTCCAAAACCGAGGATCAATTTTAAGAGAAACTTCAGCACAGTGCCACTCCATGCAAGTTCTGTACATAGCTACAGCTCAAACTGAAGAGAAGAAAAAAAGTAATCCACAGCACACAAAAGAGACAAAAATACAAATTAAATCCACAAATCCAAAGGTTAAGATGTCTTCAGAAGCCTCACAATGTCTCCTTTCTTTGTGCTTCAAAGTTTTAGCATCTGCAATGTATTGTGGCCGATCCTCCCTCTGAAACCCCCCTCTCTCTAACCCCCCCTGTGCAATGAATCCCACTGAGTCAGAAGAAGCCATAAAGATTCCAAGCTGCCATAAAAAGCCATTAAGACGTGTGGAAGTGGGACGTCTGCTGGCAGACATGAAAAGGATTCCAGCTCCAGACCGGTTCAGTGTTTGCATTGGTTTGTCCGCCTTCCTCAAGAGGGTCAGACAAAACTGCCCCACAGACCAGGAAGCACTTAATTTTTACAATCTCCATTTCCACTCATGCAGCCACTGATCTGGGATTAGTGCGACGTTCACAAAACGGAACAGTGAGAAGACGTGAAAAAGCCGTAACTCTCACTCAACAGGAGCTGTCAAAGTGTTTGTCACTGATTTTAGTTTTATTTTTTTATAAGGCACACATGTTTAAATTAAAAAAAATCTTTCTTATACTACAAACTGATTTTTGACTGTGTTATGTTCACTGGTCACTAAATTATTAGGATTTCCAGTTGTGGAAGAAAGCTAGCAAAGCAATAACAGAGGAACACAGAAAGTTTGTTTTGTTTCTTGACCAAAGATAAAGGCGGCCAATAAAACAAATCTCAGTCATCTTCCCCCAAAAGCTTTTTCTGACTCTTAATTAAGAGTCAAAGATACCTTGTTTATTTCTATTAATAATTAATCTAACTTCTTTTTTTATTATTAATATTTTTGCTGTTCTTTTTAGTTTGGGAGTGAAAATGTGGAAAAAAATGCTAAAATAAAAAACAAAGAAATAAAAAGTTTAAAACCAAAGAGTAATGTGGTTCTTATTATTATTTTACTTTTAATTTTGAAATAAAATTGAAAGCATCACAAAAGATAAAGAGGAAAAATAAACGTGAGAGCAAAAACATAGTGGATTACAGTGCAGCACAGTAACGCTGCACGTTCTTAACTGTAAACTGAGCATCTGGTAGTTTTGATTATTTCAGTTTTAACTGCATTTCAGAGACAAACAGAAAAAAAATAAAGTGAGAAATTATTTATCTGATGAAGAATGAAGACGGTTGCGTGGACTCTCAACGACCAAATGGGGGAAGGTGACTTGCTGATTATTAGATAACATAATAACACCTTTACTCAACTATTGAATAATAACTTGGTTTTTTAATTATGAGGGATGTTTATTTACGCTGCATCACTGTCTTCGCTTTTTTTTTTCTTCAATAAAATGTTACAAGAGTGAGACGAGCTTCCAAAACCGGGTTTGAAACCACGCTCTCGGCCTGGCCTGGTGTTTCCTCTGTGAGGCAGGACAGTTGGGAGACAGGACGGTGAAGGGATCACATTACTGCTGCTGGGAGGCAGAGGGGTGTGTGAGCCGCTGCAGGGCGTCACCTCCGCGATCATAACTTGGGATATCCTTTCAGACCCCATAACTTTAACAGCAAAATATTTCTTTTCTTCTTTTTTTTCCAAGTCAAACTGTTTTCGCAGCACCAGCATTAAAGATGAGTCGCATAAAAGCTTTGAAATGGAACAGCATGCAGGTTTAGAGGAAACAATAAATAAAAAAGAATTAAACGTGCATTGCTCTTTTTTTTAAATTTGCAGCCTGTGAGGAGGGAGGAAGTTAAATAAGCTGAAGGTAGAAATTTAAATGTGAAGAAAAGTCTGTGACGCATTTTCATTTGGGTTATGGTCACATTTAGTGGGCGGGACAGTGCTCCTCACACGGGCTAAACACTGCTAACGATACACTGTATCCACAGCGGTGTTACCACAAGGCTGCAGGATCGCGCTAAACGGGTGTTTTTCTTTTCCTCCTCAGTTGCAGAGCAATCCTCTGCATTAGTCCAGTAAACAGAAAGCAAAGGGAAAGCTGCAGAGTTCTATGTAGCTACTGTAGGCAGCACCGAGCTGCCCGTCTGCACAGACTACAGTATAAACACGCACCGCTGTCCGACACTGCGTGCGCTAATAGTAGGAAAGCTGAGCGCTTTTGACCGCAGCACGGAAAACAAAACAACACACGAGACTAATAAAGAGGGATGAGCCGTACCAACCGTGTCAACTGGGTATTTTGATGCGAGACTCCTCACTTTCTATCAGATGCAAGCCGCCATATTCGCTGCAGCTTCGCGCATGTCCACCGCGCAGTGCTGTAATTCATTTTTTCTTTTTTTTTCTTCTTGTTAAAAAAATAACCAGGTTAGAGCAGGGGAAATATTAATTAGGCCTTGTATTAAGTAAGTATTGATTCATGTTGGGTATTTATATTAAACAGCATGTCACGTGGAAACGAAAATCTTTTTCTTTATGTGTATTTTTGTTATTGTGGCATGCTAATTATCGCACAGGGGGTGATGAGAATAGAGATGACATGAAATGTAAGTGACGGAAGGTAAGCTGTGTTAATAATTAAAAAATGTTTTTAATCAATAAATTAAATTAGCTGAAAAAACAGACACGTAATCTGTGTTACAGTAACAACAGAGCAGTTACATTCAAAATTTACAATTTTGAATTTTGAATAATTTATTAATGTAAAACTATAAATGCGCTTTCGCGAAAATCATGCATTTTAAATAGTAAAATCAGCAAATGACAATGATGTGATTTGTGGTATATTATCAAAGCTGATATAATCATGGCTGGTTGAGAAGGAGTTGATTTTGTTTGCTTTGTCACTTCAGTTGTAACAACGTGTCTGTTTCAAACAGTTCAGTTTTCTAAAATTGCATTTTAATTGATTGTTACCAATATAATTAGGTAACATTTTGTATGTTGTATTTATTTGTGTAAAAAGTATTTCTAATAATGCTAATTGAACATATGTCACTTTTTTGTTTTGCTTTTGTTAATTTCATGGGTATAAAAACGCCTTTTGGGTTAATTCTAGTATATTTCCCCCTTTTTTTTTCTTTCTCCATTTATTTATTCAGTGACTATAACAGCACCATACTATATAGGAGTAATGAATGAACTGTTTCTACCTGATATGTAATGGAATAAACATCCAAAGTAGTATAGAGTAACAGAAATACTCAACTAAGGTTCCTCAAGTATGTTTTGTGTACAGTATTTCAGTTAAATGCATTAGTTATGTAACACAGCTACAGATTTAAAAGATAGCTACATAATAGTCTAGAAATATTGTCACATGGCAGTAGTTTATAAGTGAAGATCCTCTTCCAGTTGTGACACTGTGGCAGAAAACAAACTCTTTCAAATCTCAGTATATGAACAGTAATTACTTTTCTCTCTCATAGTAATTGTGGTATGAAATCCAAGTGGCAAAGTGGTTTTTTTTCCTTTGTAAAATGGTTATGCACATTCACCAACCAAATGACACCACCCAACATGTAACATAATAGTCAGTTGGCTACTGTCCATTAAAACATTTATAAAACTGTACTGTTTGAAACTGACACTTTGTCACATATCAAGCAACAAAGTAATTCAAATGTCATCTTTCTCCACAGTAATAAAGCCCACGTTAATGACTGGGGTTACTAATCCAGTCATAATGTGCTAAAACAATGTAATGTGTTAAACCAACATATACGGTGCTGCTGCAGCAAACTGCAGGGCTGGCATTTAAAATTGATTTCATGTTTGCACTTTTACTTCTTTGTGTAGCAAAAGAAATGAGCTGGCCATTTATCTGGATGCTATTATGTATTCAGATTTAGTATAGACATAACAGTACAGAGAAACCTGTTTGTTTGTTTTAGTTTAATAGTTTATTGTAATATCTTTTTCTTTTACATAAATTTAGAAATAATCTCAAGCCTTGTGCTATAATTATTGTGGTATCTTGTTGCATTGGGAATTACTTTAATAGGTTTAGATTTTAATAAACAATCACCCCACACACTGTGATGCACTGGCAGACAAAATGATCCAATACAGGCACAGGTAGAGCTCTCAGTCTGAAAAAGGACAACTGGGGTTTGTAAGTCATTAACTTTTAGTATAACAAATGTTGCTCAAACAAAAAGGTAAGTAATTTTTAAAAGTACATTTAGCCTATATTTGCTGATATTTGCTACAGTTTACATAAATACACGCCTTAATGGCATTCCTCTTTCTCCATAAACTATTCTCCTCATGGCTACTGGACGGAAACTGAAAAAAACATTTATCTCATGAACACGTTAACCACATTTCCTCAGAAAAGATAAATCACACCTGCCAAAATGAACTCGAGAAGGTCAAACCGAGACCAGAAGGAGGTGTGTGTGTGGGGGGGGGTCACACACAAACAAAATAATGCAGCATTTAATGTGCACCAGCTTTCTAACACCTGCTCTCATTACGAAGCCGGTCGATGCAGTGTCCGTGAGTCCAGTGGATTCACACCGATTTCGCCAATTAGTGCATTGGTGGAGGGGAGGTGTAGGTGAGAGCGAGTGGAGAGGAGCTGCAGGAAGATTTTTAATCAGTGACACAACATGGGTTGACCAAAGGGGAGGGGAGGGAGGCAGCAGCAGTAATTAACAGTGTAAAAATCTGCGTGCTGCTGGAAGGAGACGATCACCGGGCTTATCAAACGCTCAACAAACAGTGCGCTGGACTGCATTTCCATCCCAAAGTTTTATTTTATCTCGACTCGCTGTGGATCTTAAACCACTGCTGGAACGCGCAGACGTCCGTGTTTCTATTGGCTGTGCGCAGCGTCGCTCAGAGGAATGACGATTTTGCTGCTATAACCAGCTGATGCTGAGGCTATGAACGCGGAGCCTCTGAAGAACTGTTGACGGTACATTGACACCCTGTCATCGGCGTTATGCCTGCGGATTCGGTCTACCGTCCGTCCAAAGACTGAGTGAGTAGGACATTTGATCGTGTCACGACGCACAGGCCCGGGTTTCCCCCCTCCTCCATCTCCTGTCGCTCCACATGATGTTTCTTCGTCTTCCCACATCATCATTTTCATGGGCATGATGCTCCGTGCTTCACAGATTGAGCTTTCTCACCTCGTACAGGCGTCACATCGCATCTGCAGGTAAACCTTCGCGTGGTTTAAACGGTGAGGTTTTTTACTCGTTATCTCGTCGGATTTGATTTCATTTCATTTTTGGTATGTGTTGGGAATGATGTCTTACCACGGGTTCATGAGTGAAGGCTTTTTTTCTTCTTGAATTGTGGATGTTGTTGTGCAACATTGTCGTGAACGTGGACCGTTATAATGTATGCACTGGTTGCTGTGTAGGCTGAGAATCGCGTGGACAGCGATGGAATGGTGGTGCGCTCTGCAACGCAGCGACGAAAGAGACGCAGTTTCGGTGCAGAGAGAGCAGCATTACTATCCTCCCCCCACCCCCTCTCTCACCTCACGCAAACACACATAGTCTCGTGCACGCGGACGCACGCACCTGCCTATTAAATTTACACTCCCAAACTCACTTATTGCCGAGGTTTCTTTGCATGCAGACTCCAACGAGCCTCAGTTGCAGTGTCATGTTGCCGTCCATTCTATATTCATTCAGTATTTTCTGGACCTTCACGGTGATGTTTTCACCTTGTTTCCATTTCGTTTTGCAAGGAGAGGAAGCAGCTTATCAATAAACCGAATGCATGCTGTATCCATTTTATTTCCTCCCTAAAGTATGAGCTCTAATGTCTCATAGATCACTCTTGTCGCTGGCGTATACCTATTAAAATGTGCACTACGAATTAATTCACTACCCACTGTCCTTAAATGACAAGCCATGGGTGGCCTTAACGTCCACCTTATCTCTTCCCCTGGAAAGACTTAGCTGTGTGGAGCGTACACTGCATAGGAAAACGCCCACACAGGCACATGAGCCAAGTCAACATTAAAGTGTTTTTTTGCACTGCTGAATAAATCAAGTGTTATACAAATGAAGTTGGACTGATACCGTGAGAAGCTTTGATGGTTCCTGTCCAGCAGCATTCACATTACAAAAGAGGCATTTAATATTCGTGGTCAGTTTTTGGATGTGTGACAAGAGACAGTCTGCCTTTAGATGTAATTGTTCTGGGGCTTTTTTTTTTCTTTGCTTTGCTTAAACAAAATAATAACAATATTACTTGTACATAGATGTATAATAACCTCACAGAAAGATTGAGGGGTAACTATAAGCAAAGAGGGAGAATGTTAAATCTTTACATCAACCATCTCGGCTTGACAGATCCAGAGTTCTGCAGAGACAGCGGTCACTTCACAAAGTGTAACTGTTGCTGATGTGAGAGTGGTTTTGGAAAGTAAAACAACTGTTTTTGACCTAATGATCCTTTAGCTTAAAACCGAAGAGGTCACCGGGATTGTTCTAAATCCTCCTGACGCAGACGTGAATTTACACATCCGCTTTCCTTGATTGAATTTCACCCAATAATTCTACAGATGATCTGGGTGTTGTCACGCTGTGTGATCGAGTGCTCGGAGCTAAGTTCAAGTCTGACGCCACACCTGAGAGGGTATTGCTGAGGTGTAGGTTGTAATGATGACCCAATTCTTACCCTAATGCTATAGTTTGGACAAAGACAAAGCAGACCTATTTGAGGAACTAATGAGAGTAGATTTTGATGTTTGTCATTTAGAATGATTATTTTCTTTGTTCTGTGATTGCTAAAACTGGGAGAACAACTCATTAAAAACCATAATTACATATTATTTTTGCTTGTTTGAGTTGTGATGACTTAGACCTCAGAGGGTTAACTTGCTAATACCAAGAATGTGTCATTTTTACTGTGTTCAACATCCAGTTTACCTTGTTAACACTTCCTTGTTAGCTCAAACACAAAAACTGTTAATAGTTTTGCAATATTTAGGTGTTATGTAAAATATCTTGATGCATGCATCCAGGTAAGGAAATCCCAGAAAGCATATTCATGTTCACCTGGATGTCGTGTTTACAGTGAGAGAAACGTTTAATCACTCATCCAAGTGACTTCTTCAGTCACTATCACTCACTTGGATGAGTGACGAAACATTTCTCCCACCAAGATGATGAACACAATCAGCTTTCTGGGATTACATAAAGTACTTGACAATTTTTTTTGGAGCCGACGACAGGAAACACGAATGACGACACAGAATGTGATGGTTAATCAAGTAGAGACCTTTCACTGAAAACCACAAACATCACTCAGTTGGTGTCTCCAGAGGGAAAGTCAGGCCGAAATCTGTGGGCTATATCATGCATCACTGTTTGTTACCAAAATTGTGCCAACCCATTTAGTAAGTGCGGAGATGTTTTATCGGATAAGTGAAAACTTTGACCTGCTGATGGTTGCCGAGTGCTGTAGGCAAATTAAAGAGGATTCATTCTTCTCGCACCATGGATATTAAAGCACTCCATCCAATGGCTGTCAATAACTTTATTAAATAGCAAAAATCCCTTTTTTTGTAGGGACGGTAGAGAAAAAGGTAGGGGATCACTCAGAAGAATCCTCTTCTGAGGATCTTCTGAGCACCTATGTTGTTGACATGCTTCCTGCAGCATCCTCCATGTTGATGTATAGCTAATTAGAATAGATGGGATCTGTGTGGAAGTCATGCTTAAGCCATGAGTTATTTAAACATGTCCTCAAGGAAATATTGCCCTTCTGTATATCTACATGTCCTACTTATTCACTGTCTGTGTCAGGAAGACTAAGAGCATGCAACTCCCTGTGCAAGGAATGATGGGATATTTGGACCTTCAGAGAGACCCTTTGACAACATATTTAACTGCATCTTTGTTTTTGTCTCTGGTCTTCCAGGTTTGCCGGCATGTAGTGTTGGATGGAAGTAGAAGAAGGACATCAGCACATGGAATAAAGGGAGCGCAAAGGACATCTGAATACACTCGACTCAGATACCTAATAATTACAATAATAAGAGATATTTTTAAAAAGTCCAGAAAAGAGGCAGAGAGAGGGAAAGAGAGAAGCTATGGTGTAAAGGGAGTGAAGATGGGCTGTGGTCAGACGCTTGCAATGTTCCTCCTGGAGTCCACAGTTCACTCCACCGGCTGGTCAAAGCAGGAGTCTCCTCGCTAAAAACCCGAGCAGCTCATTTCACCCGCTGGAGGAGCCCTCACTCTCGGTGATGTAATGAATAAGTTTGAAGTCCTTGGCATTGTGGGCGAAGGTGGGTGGATTTTACACGGCAGATTTCACTGCATGCTTTAAAACTTGAAGACTTTATGTACTGTTGCTGGTAACACTGGGGTCATAACCAGTGTACATTTTAATGGGATTCAGGTGTCTTACACTGCACAGCTGAAACCTACACACATAGCTGTTGACAGAGAGTATATATCCTACTTTAGCATTTTTGAGCACAGGCAGATTTTAAAGGGGCGCATGAGCCTCAGAGTGTGGTGAAGTCTCCCATGGAGTAATGTCTAATTTGTTATAATAATAGCTTTGGTCATTAGGTCGCCATATTTATCTTAAAACAAAATTGTTTTGGGTTTTTTTGTTTGCATGTATGCCTGTTTGATAAGAATGCCTTTAAAGGTTTTACTATGAAGCCTCGCTCTTTCCCGTTTTGCAAATTGAAAACATCCCCTGCATATACCTGTTGTTTGGATCCTTTCCACAGCACTAATTTAATCAGTATGTTAACAGTCAAGCATGCTCACCCCTCTGCTGCTCAGTTTATCTTCTCTAACAGTCTCTGTTTTTATTCCTTAATCACGTTCAGTTGCTTCTATTCTGTGTGATTATCATCATCATCAGTGCAGTCCAACCCTTCTTGGTCTTGGTGCAGCAAACAAAAATATGAGTATGAATATGCAGAATCTGCAGGCACGGGGACAAGATTTTTGTTTAGACCAAGCATGTTTAAGAAGGTGTTGTTTGCATACAGGTAAACAGCCAGTCCAAAGAATTGCACATTTTTATTCAATTAGATTTTTTCTTTGAATTTGTCTGCATTGCTAAATGATAACTTTCATGTGGGATAGGAAGTCTGGCTACTCCGGAAGCCCCAAAATGTTATCAGATGATAGCCAATGGGTTCCCATGCCTAAAGCCTTTAGTTCAAAGGGTAGGATCAGCCCCTTCCTGGCCAGAAAGAAGTGCTGAGTTTGATAAGCACTGCTTAGAAAATCTAGTTTCAATTAAAATTACTTATTGAATTAAAAGATACTCCAAACTCAAGAGCAAGAACTGATTTGTAGTGCTGATGAAACTAATATTGCTTCAATCTATAAAACGCTGAATTTGCCATGTACAGGTAGTTCTAACTTTCAATGTTACTCTAGCCTTACTTTGTTCTTGGTTAGTATGAGATGATTTAATATAATCACTTGTTTTACTGCTTAGGATAAAATTAGCAGTGCCTGTCTGACAAAGACATCCTGTTTATAGATGAGAAAAGCACTGTATATGGTTTTGGTTGGAAGTGTTTAGCTTGGAGGATGTAAAATGCCTTATTAAGAAATCGTAGAAACCACACATTTTTCAGCACCATATGAGTATTGCTGAAATGTTGAATATGCATGTAAGTAATTCTTGCAAATCAACTTTGTGAAATTTTCAACAGCATAAATTAGTCTTGGTTTTTCGGAAAAGCTCATCCTTGATTCTGCTATTTTTATTCCTAATCGTACTTTTCTTTAAGGTTTATATAAATAAAATAAATAAAATTGCACTTTTAGCTGTGAGTGACTCTTAAGTGAGCCACACAAACGGCCTTTAATTAGCAATCCGTGTAGCTTCTGCTTCTTGTAGCCAGCAGCGTGATTTGCAGCTGATTTGACTGAGCTGGATCGACATGTATTCCTGCCTTACTCTAATGTGAGAAGACAGAGTAGCCAAGTGTTTATTCTGCTGTTGGTAATTCTCGCAAACTGTGATCTACACCAGCACTCGTTACTACATCTATCAAAAAGTTATGTACACAACGAACCGCAATAACAGTTTTCATACAGTTTTCTGTTTTTTTTTCTCATGTTAAAAGCTCTGTGTGTACACATTTTTCATACTTTACACAGAGTATGTTTTATATATACAGTGTAACCCTGGCGGCATATATTAAAGTTAACTGTTGTCTCTGCCAACTCGCTTTTTTATTGTATTGCCATTTTTCTTCAATGTTGACACAGATGGGTTTGCTGTATTTTAAATGTATGCTATCACTAAAAATTGTTTCATCTTTTTCTTCCAGTGAAATTGTGTCTTTTTTTCTCTAAATACATCCTAATACCAATGTATTAGAGGTGCAACGATACTCGTATCGATATTGAACGTTCGATACAGTGCTTTCGGTTCAGTACGCATATGTATCGAACAATACAAAATTTTTCATTTATTTTATCAACTTTCCTTCTGACGATGCTGTCTGTGTTGAGCGCTCGACAATGCAGCCTAGGCAGAGTAGTCGAACGCAGATTCACTGAGCACAGGGCAAGCTAGCGAGACAGAAGTTAAGCTCTCCTTGCAACATGGCAAATTGAACCTCCCCCACCCTCATTCAGATCTCGTGTTTGGAACTATTTTGGTTTTCATGTGACTTATGACCCTGAAGGTAAGCGTGTCATGGACTAAAGTAAAACAGTATGTTGGATGTGCCACGCAATGCTCAATTACATGGGTGGGAGCTAGTGTGTTAGCACAGTTTGCTCGTTAAGGTGTTGGCCGTCCAGCCCCATGCACGGGGCGATCCACGATTTGCGGTGTTGTGGCGTTAAGGTCATTTCAACGAGATTAACCTGAAAGCACTAGTGGGGAACACAACGAATATGACTGCACATTTACACCGACATCATCCTAGTGCAAAGACAAGTGGAAGCAGAAAAAAAACAACAAGCACGCATGCTACAAACTTTACGCTGTTAGCAGATGATTCTCCTTATGGGGACCTGATATGTTTAATATGCTGCTGAGAGTATATCCCAGAAGAAGCGTATAGTATAGCTTTTATTTTGGAAAGAGCCATTTCTCTGTAATAAACTCTCTTCTCCAAAGATGAGTAATTTCTCAATCAGATATATTTATTTTTTATTACTTTTTTGTTTCAGCAACATTAAATTTAAAAACTGTAATTTTGAGTTAAAATATATATTTATAATTTTAATAAATGACAAATTAAAAAGGCATGAACATTTTTTTTGTATCGAAAAAATATCGAACTGTGACACCAAAGTATCGAACCGAACCGTGAATTTTGTGTATCGTTGCACCCCTACAATGTATGTAAACTTTAGTCAGCAAAACTATAAAGAAGATTTTTTGTCATACTCATGAATCAGAGGTAAAGCAACTTCAGAACATTTTGTTCTTTGTAGACAAAACTCCTTCACAGTTGCTACATGTTTTTCAAACGTTACAGAGAATTTTTAAAAAAAGATCCGATTAAACAGCTGCTGCATTTTTAGGTTCTAATATTTTTTAAGTGTTTCCTTTTAGAATGCAGTTAGCTAAACAGGGAGTTTGAATGTTGTAAGGATCTTTCTTAAGAATCTCCAAAAGTTGATTCTGTTCATCTGGACGTAGCGTTTTGTGGGAGAAACTGCAGGTTTCCCCGATCTTATAAACAGTACATTTGCATAATGACTGAAACCAGCCCAGTGAAGGAACAATGGGTTTAAGAATGTTATTTAGGAGTCACCATTCTCTCCTTACTGCTTATTTACACATTCATGTTCCTGTGATTTATCAAAGAAACACATTTGTACGTGTACTCGTAATACTGCTGGGACATTAAATACTCTAACTAGCACCACTCACCTATCGTTATCCATGGAGAAAGTAAGAAAGGAATTATGAAACAACTTAAGTGGGTTTTTGAAATTCCCATAATCATGTAACTCATGCACACGCTTGTGAGAGGTCTGTGCCATTTATTGCCAGCAATTTATGTGTATTGATAAAATGTTTGTTTTACCATGTAAGTAAATCAACTTTGTAAAACTCTGGAACTGCATAAATGTTACCACAGAGATCATTTCTACAGTTTTTCTGTAAAGACAAACTGTTTTTCTACAGGCTTCTCTTCATATCTGCACCTCTTTCTGCCCCTATAGCAAACAGATAAATATTTGAATGAATCAAAAATCTTATGATAAGAAATATCATTATAAAAATAGGTTTTAATTGTTGTTGTTTTTAATTTCCTTTCACACAAAAAAAAGAAAAACAAGAAAAAAATAAACACTGAAAGTAACTCCGAAAGCAAGCTAAGTGACAGATGGTGTCAAGGCAAAAGGGCATCATTCTCCGTAAGACTGAAGCTATAAAAATCTCTAAAACTCTGCACAGAAATCAGGCCATTGCCACAAAAACAGACCGATTCTGGCAGAAAGACAAGCAGCATTACCCAACCCATTACGTTGCATATGTGATCTGAACAGCAACAAGAGCAGTTTGGAAAGACGTGGAAAACATTAACTTCAGCAAATGCGAGTCCAGCTGACATCCTTGCAGGACAGAGCCAGAGACTCGACTTCTGAAATATCAGCCATCATCCCAGTCTTGTTAAACTGACACAATCATCTGTCTTAGTAAAGACAGGAACAGGGACACGGTGTGTGTGTGTGTGTGTGTTACTTGTGAAAGGTATAGCTGTGAGTGTGTGTTGAGTGTGTGGGAGAGCGAGTATGCATGCCTCCGCCTCACCTATTAACGGCTGTTTCTCTGGTGGTTCTCACCTACTGTACTTCTTTTTCATGAACCTGTTTGTTTGAGGTTTGGAGGTCAAAGCATAATTAAGATGTCAAAACTTTAACACCACATCTGAGTCTCACTTTTTTATTGAGCGTTTGCATCTTTCTCTCCATTTCTTGTTGTCCAGGAGCATATGGAGTGGTGCTCAAGTGCAGGCATAAGGTAAGATAGTATTTCTGATTTCTCAGAGTCTTACAGTATGCCTGGTTTGTTTTATTGTGATGTAAAGTGTTTGGATGGTGGCAAACTTTCACTGAGAAGAATGGTACGGTGATGAAGACTGAAACAAATGTGACTGGTATGATGGTTAAAATACTCTGAAAACTACAATGTCAACAGTGATGTTTCATCCCTCTTTCATCCCTGAAATGTTAGCTAGCGTGTTTTAACCCATTATAAAAGCATACAGTAATGGAGGAAATCCTTTGCTTGGCTCTAAGTCGATATACTATGTAGACAGAAGTGCTGAGCCACCTACACATTATCAAGAGTAGCTGCTCAGTAATGGAAACGGATACCCTGAAGCTCCCAGCTCCCAGTTTTGTGCAGATGTTAATGCCGGAGAAGGTTTGGATGTCTGCAGAGCACTAGCAACTTTTACATACTATGCATCTCAGCATTCAGTGACCCCGCTCTGTAACTCCAGTGGTCTGACCCTTTGTCGCTGAGTTGTAGTGGTTCTTAGACACTTCTCTTTTGCAACGTTATCATTTACAATTGAGGGAGGGAAGAAATTACAACCAGTGAGCTCTGTAGAACAAATCATTCTTTCACAAATGGTTGTAAAGCCAGACTGCATGGCTATGTGCTGGATTTTATACATCTGTGGCAATGGGACTGAAAACAGCTGAAAGATTACCACTACTTTTTTTTCCATATAAAGCGTCTGGTCTGTATTTTTACAACCATATTTCTGTAGCTTACAGTAGGGAGACAAGCTGTATAAGTACAGCTTAGACTTACAGGTCTAATTCATTTAATAAGGAACAGATCTGTTGTTTTCATAGAGAACATTTATTGATGGCTTAGTTTGGAAGATTCTGCTATTGCACAAAATCGACCAGCGAGCAATTATAATGCAAAACGAAATAAAGTTCATTTCGCTTTTCTAACACACCCACAGTTGGTCCATTTGTTTTGCAGACAATGTGCGTGGTCACAAATTTTGAGCTACAGACCACTGTGCTCATTGGCAGATGGCAAAATTTACCTCATGCACACCAACATTTGCAGCCTCACCAAAAGCACATCTCAAAGCTGTGAGGCTATTTATGCTAGGGTACTTATACTTGCAATGCCAAGCAAGTGTTTATCGTGCAAGTTATTATCATTTGCCAATTGTTATAAAACACAAGGTAAAGCTGAGGCAGATGGAACCGTTAGTATTGCATTTATGTCCTAAAAAATAGTGGAGAAAGTGGTTTATTTATCGGATGATGGGATGGATGAATAGACAGGGAATCCCTTCAGAGTGAAAGAATGGTTACAGCCACCTTAAAGGTAGATTAGAAACTTTAATGTCACCACTTGCACATGTGCACCCTCATATGAATCACTTACTTGGTGCTTACTCACTGTGTCACGCTGTAAGCATGAGTCTGAATGTTCTCTGACAGACATTGTTAGATCACGTTGGATTTTAGCGATGACTCTTAAAACAAAGTTATTAAATGTGAGCCATTAATGTACTTTGTATGCATGAATGAAAGGGCTGAAGGTGTGACTCATCCAGCTGTGTCTTACTTAATATAACTGTGCGGTTTTAAGCTTATCTTTAGCTGTTATATGGTCCTATTACTTGTTTCTCTGCAGTCTGTTTATAAAGTAAATGAATTTTCTCAACATGTGAGAACTTTCCAGATCAAAATGATTACATTACATTGTTTGTCTTTTTGACTTGTAATGATTGGGAATTCTCAAACAAAGCTCAAAGACCTTTTTTACACTGTTGAAATTTTGGACTTTAGTCCAAATTTATTAAAACTGCTCTGCAAAACACTAGTGCACATGCAACCAAAGACCGCCTGCAGCTGAAGGACAAATTTTCACAGTGTGACTTCTAATAAGGCTCGCATGTGAATACCAACCAGTCAAAAGGAAATGAGGCAAAATACAAAGGGCCAGTTTTGTAATATTTGAATAAATTTTAGGAATGAAACATTTCCTTCCCAACCACATCAAATCTCTCCTTTTTCTCTTACTGCCATCGTGTGTTTATACTGTCTGCATGGGCTTGTGGGCCAAACAGAAGAGTTGTGCAGTTGGATATGAGGGCAACTGGGTGACTGGGTATTTTGTCGCCATGTCAGGTGGGCGACATACACACCTAAGTTTGTGAATGTGATGAGAACAAGGCGACATGGGATTTTGAAAGTGATACCATAGGGGTGTCTGCTCGTAGGCTTGGGGGTAGCACTGGTGGTTGCCAGTATATTTTTTAATTAATGCCACAATTCACTGGAATATACGACATGCCTCAGGAGGATATTGTCTGATAGATTTTATTGGACCCATCCTACACAATGTAACATTAGGTAAACTTGCATGTTGATTGCTGCTACGCTGTTGAAAGTTATCTGCAAAATAAGTTGTAAGCTAACACACTCATTCAGTTAGCACCTTTTATCTCTACTGGTCATGTTAAACGTGTGCAGTCAGTTATCTTTATTAGAGTTTTTATATTGTCAAATCTGAAAGGCCCCCACGTAGTTCTGTGGTTTGGCATCATGCATATCCATTCAGCATTGTTTCTGTTGTTTTCTATTAGCGCCAAGAACAAGTATAGCCTAATAGTCAAGAAGCGTGAGCAGGTCACAGTGACAGCACAGCACGCTGCTACCTGTGCATGTTGCTTATATGCTGTGAATTTTGAGGGTAAAAAAATGTAACAAATTTACCAAAGACATATTTAATACCTTATTAATTCAGTTAGTAGGAAGTAGGCTGTTATTTCATCTTTCAGAAATAACAAAGCTTTTTGCTACGTGATCATAATTAGCAGCTAAATGTGCTTAAACTTACAGAAGGTAGTTGTGTAGATTAACGCCCTTCTAATGAAATTCTGTCCATTTTTGCAAAGTAATATGTAGCTATAGCTTTCAAGTCAACGTAGAGTTGTTGTCCGAAGTTTACACACATGGACATAGAAGTCGTGGTAACTTTTAAATTTGAATGATTTCTTTAAATTGTTTTTTTTCCAGGGTGAATGATTGTTGTTGCTGTATGCTTAATGACTTTACAAAACAATTTAAACTTTCTCTAATTGGCTGAAGGACAAAAGTATACATACAGGCTGAACTATAGGTTTCTGAGTCATTTCTAAACAACAACAGAGTCCAAGAAAATCAGTTCAAACAGTTTACATAAGTACAACTTATTTGGATGTGTCAACACTTCGCCAGGGTCTGAAAAAGGACCCAGACTTTTACCCTCCAATGAGAAGAAATGTGCAGATGTTCAAAAACAACCCAGGAACTGCTGAGTCTCAAGGCTGCTATGAACTGGAAACTGCTGAAACACCAGTGTCGCTGTCCACAGTAAAGCCAACGAAGAAAGAAGCTGCCCAAATGGACAAGCCAAATGCCTTCTGAAGAAAATTTTATGGTCACACGAGACAAAGACTAAGATTTTTGGACACAGTGACAAGAGTAAAGGTGAGTATCTCAGGCCTAAGAAGACTATAGCAACTATCAAGCATGGTAGTGGTAGCATCATGCTTTGAGGGAACAGTGGATGGAATAATAAAGGCAGACTACCTCCAAATTTTTAAACTTCAGCCCAAATCAAGAAAACTTGGACATAGTTGTATGTTCCAACAGGAGGACAATGATCCCAAACACATCAAAACGGGTTCTGGAATTAATAAATCATTCTCGTTAACATAGGCTTCTGGAATGACTTTCCCAAAGCCCTGACCTCAGCTCTACTGAGAATTTTTAGAATATAACCAACTAACTGTGCCAAGAAGAGTGGTCAAATATCCAGCCAAAATATGCAGCGTTATTGAAGGTAGTTTATGGCTACCAAAGCGTCTGCTTGACTTACAACTTGCTAAAGGATATTTAACCAAATATTAATGTGAGTGTATCCATATATATGTGTGAGCCTGTATGTATACTTATAACCCTTTGTGGAGGAAATGCAAAAAAAATTCAAACTGCACTCAATTTCTTTTTTTTCCCCTTTTTTTGGTGAATGTGGTGACTGTGAATGTATGACTGCAGCTGTAGTTAACGAAAAAAGTTCAATATTTGCCTCTTAAATAAAGCAGTACTTAGTGTAAAAGCAAATTTTGTTACTGTTAATTCAAATGATTACGGTAATTTCTTATGAATGACAATTGTGTTACGTAGTACTTCGTTCACAACCACTAATTACTCATTAATAAAAACGGCACCTAATGTCTAACCCAACTTTGTCTAAAGTGATGAGCTTGATGTTCAGAAAACATGATTTTCAGTCAGTGGTTTTAATTAGTTTTAGTTAGTGTGATTGTTTATTTACGATTTTTATTTATTAAACCTTTAAATTCACAATATAGTCTTCTCCAATAAATCTCACCTCTTTTTACATGGTGCAGTACAATAACCAGACAGCCCATGTGAAAGTACGATAGAGACACAGTGGTTTGGATTGATAGTCAAGTATTTTCCATTCGTCTTTTCAGATTTTTGTATTTTATGTGTTCATTGATCAGGCTTATTTAGGGCTTTTCCAGGCTTTTGAATCAGTCTTAGGCAAGTTGACTGCCGGTATGCTGAGTGGAGCACTGATGTTTTAGAAAGCAGGAATAATGCTGTCAGCTACAAACAATGCAGCTATTCAAGCACATTAGTCAATAAACTTGGAAGCAATCTTGGAATATAAAAACATCTGTGGATGAATCAGCATGTTCCAATGAACACACACACACACACACACACACACACACACACACACACACACACACACACACACATTGGTATCCTGGCTTGGTCAGAGAGGAATGGGGTTAATGGCGGATTACAGCAAATATGAGCACCTGTATTCAGACATTCATTAATAAATAGACCTTAACGAAGAGCTTAATTACACTGAAACTAACAAAGGGGGCCCTTTTTGATAAGCACTGATGTGGTTTACATGTGAAACACATTGCTCCACGCTGTGCCTGTTGAAATAAA